TCGTCTACCAAGTGATGCTCCGCGCGGTCAAGTTCCGCGCACATTTGCACTGGCTCGACAGGGCCGACCAAGCGTGCCTCTTCTGTCCCGAGCACGAGACGTACCGCGACTTCCTCGTAGACTACGACTTCATCAAGGACGTGTGGAGCACGCTTCACGCCGTCACGGTCCCATTGGGCGTGACCTTGCCGACAACGCTCTCCGGCTACCTCTACTCGACGCCCAAGACGGCGTCCAACATGCACCAAGCCGCGTTCCGCTACCTCTGGCCCGTGCTCCGCGCCTGCGTCTGGTTAAACGTCTGGCGAGTCCGGAACGATCGCGTCTTTCGCGCCGACCTACCGCTGCCAAGTCCATGGACGATTGCCGTCAAGGCGGCGCGCGTCGTTCAACTGCACTTGTACAAGAGCCCGATCAGCCTGCTCTTCGTCGGCTTCTCCGGCGCCTCGCCCAACACGAGTGGCCGCGACGTCACCTCGTCCCGCGGGTGGCGCTCCTGCCTCCGCCTGCCTAAATCAAGTCCCTCAACCGAATGCACACAACGAAGAAAGTCCGACAATTTTATCCAGCATCGTTTTATCTATTGTCTCATCTGATCCGTCTCTTTCATCTATGATTGCACCATACCCTTCTTGGTCGTCCCAAGTCGGTCTTCATAGCAGCATACCGGTCGTACATTTATATTAATCACAACACTGGATCATCTGGATCATGCTCGTCCTTCAAATCTGGCACGACTCGGTTGTCGCGTCCTTCTTGCAAAGCTTCGAAGATTGCCTCCACTTGCTTCTTGTAACTAAACTTGAAAGATTCACTAGTCGTCCTCCTTGTATGAGTGCGCTGCTCTATGGACACCCGTTGAAGAAACCATAACTCAATTCGCTTCACCACCACCAAGAACAACCATGGGCGGCGCTACTTCGACGATCGTCGGGACGACGGGCTCGTGCATGCACATGACGTCCAACCCGCCAGTGACCGCTGCTTCGTGCGCGGGGACGTGGAACCCGTCGACAAACTTGTGCACGATCGAGGACCCGTCGTTCACGTCATCGAGCTGCACGGACAGACACGGAATGTGGATTCCCAGCAGCGGCACGTACACCCCGATGTCCCCAGTGCAGACGTACAAGCCCACGACCCCAGCGCCCCGGGTGGTGTGTGCGTGCACGGGCGGCGCAGCGTGTCCCTCCAGCAAGGTTTGCACCGGGTGCCTCAAGAACGGTGTGTGCACGAGTGATTTTGCGACGGCCGCCGAGTGCAACACCTTTGCGACCGGTGCTAAATGGTGTGGCGCCTAAGGTCAGGATTGTCAGTCGTTCGTCCAGATGTCACTCGCACGTGATCCAGACCGCCACGTAATTGTTTAATGTACGGAAGTCACAACCCAATCGCTGTCGCTACGGTGCCACCCTCTATAAACGACGTCGCCGGAGAACGTCGCTGTGTAAATGCGGCTTCAAGTGGCTGCATTGATATATAGATAGATATATAGATAGATAGATACTTTTGATACGAGCACGGAAGTCTTAGACAGTATCGTGCTTGGGGACGCCGCGGCAAGCGTCAACATTCGATCGGTCAGCACGGTCCAAAGCTCCTTTGTACCGTGCGATTGCAAGGCTGCAGCGGAGCTCGCGCAGCGGCAACCGGCCGTTACACGCGGGCGGCCAAGAAAACACAACAGGCCCAGGCCGACATCGTCGCACGGACGACCATCAAGACGACCACCAAGAACACGCACCAACCAGAACAAGGTCGGCGACCGGCGCGACCACGCCAAGCCGAGCGTGCACCGAAGGAACCAAGTAGGACCAGATAGAGTAGATAGCTTTCATTTTAGGATAGTTCTTCAAGCTAAGACTGTCCACCGATCCTTCCAAGTAACCTCTCGTCCCTGCGTCCGCAAGAATGAACCTCTACTCCGTCGGCCAACACGTGCTCGTCCTCCCAGAGCAAGCGCCTTACGTCGACTTGCGCGAGGCAACTTACGCGACGATCCGGTCCATCACGGGCGACGTCCTGCGGGCGGTGACCAAGACGCGCCGTGGCGGTCGAGCTGTCGTGCTCGAGATCCCAACGACGATGCGTACCCGGCCTGCGGTAGTTACCCACGACGAGTTCAACGGCGCGCCGATCGGATCATACTTGCGCAAGAGCGTGTGCTTCTCTGCCGGAGGCACGTACGTCTACGCGCAAGTCACGGATTACCAAGTCGTGACGAACCTCCTCTTTGTCGTCGGCGCCGAGGCCACGGGGTGGACGCATCGCGAAGGCGTCGCGGTCGTGGAACCCATCGTCGCGATGCTGCTGCGTACGTCCAACAGACGGGACGCCGACGCGTCACGTACAATGGATGGACATGGCGACTGGCGACTTGCAGACCTGCGGCCTTCAGTACGCGGTCGACTTCACGTGCTACGAGACCAACGACGCCCCACCGGCTCACGTCGAGCTCGGCAACAGCATCAGCGATGACCCTGCGTTTCGCCAGCAACGACGACGCGAAGAAGCGCAGCTGCCCGACGACCCCGTCGAAGCGTTACTGCCACGGTTGATCTCGCCGCCGCGCAACCCTCGCTCGCCACGCAATGCGCCTGCGCCACCGCCGCCCGATGCCGTGCTGACGCACGCGGCGCGCGCAGACGCGGCGAGATTGTTCGCGGAGCTCGGCCGGGACATGGGAGCACTCGAAGACGAGGGCCCGATGCCGATCGCGGCGGCTGCGACCGGCAACGACGCTCTAGACCACCTGGCCGGCCTCGTACCGGACGCGCGCGTCAATGTGACGAACACGATTTCAACCCGGACGGACTGCAATGCTCGATATTCAGATGCCTCTACCACTCGCATCTGCACGCGACGTCAGGCATGGACTTTTTCCGCCAGCACGGCGGCGTACGAGACCGCGGCTTCGCGACAGCACCGGCGATCATGACGGCCCTGCACCACTGGGATTTCGCGCCCGGTCGGCTGTCGATCGCGCACCTGCAGAACATGGATCCGCGCGAGTACGGCGCGTGGTGCGTCGCCAAGAAGATCGACGTCAGCAACAACGGTAGCACAGCCAAGATGCCCGAAGCCGCACCGTTCGCGGACATGGCAGGCCTACGCGACGCCTGCTCCAACGTCGGACGGCTCGCGGCCGATCTAGGCTCGCCAGTGCTTCGCGCATTTGCTGCCCGACTCGCCTCGTTCATGCGCGAACTGCCCAACAGTGGGGTGTACGGAAAGGCCCAAGTGACGGTCTTCAGTACGTGGATCGACGACGCGTGCCGACAGCTCCACGACGAGCTCCGCGCACGGATGTGTGGCGCGCAGCGTGCCATCAACGTGATCAGCGTCACGCACACGCCGCTGCTACGCTTCAACCAACAGCTCTCGGAGCTGGTGATGGAGTCGCGGATACTGCCGACAAACAACAAGCGGCAAGGAAGCGACGCGACCGGCACGCAGGCAAAGAAGGCCAAGGCGGGCGCAGCTGCCGAAGTCAAGCACCCGTGGTTCGAGCACGTCCCGACGCACGACGGGAAGAAGATTTGCCTCAAGAATCTCACCAAGCGCGGGTGCGCGAGCAACGCAGCAGGAGAGTGCTTCAACTCCAACAACGTGCACCACGTGACAGCGATCAAGCTGCATCCGCATGTGCTCCAGCACCTCGAGCACATGGGCGGTCTGAACGAACTGCACAACGCGCTCAAGTGATGGGGGCAACTGGACGCTACGCTGCGTCCAACCCCGTGGCCCGACAAGACAACGAGTAGAGGCCACGGTGACCAGGAGTCTAACCCCGGGGCATCGTCAAGGAAGAGCGCTGGCCCCTTCGGGTCGGCAAGGGCCCTGCCCCACTCGGACCAGGGCAGTCGCTGACAACATCATACCAGCAGGAAGGCCGACCCCCTCGGGAAGGCAGCGGCGTCCAGCCCGGTGGCCGGACGCAGCCGCGCAGTCACAACGGCGAGCGGTAACCAGAACCAAGCAGCGTCCAGCCCGGTGGCCGGACGCAGCCGCGCAGTCACGACGGCGAGCGGTAACCAGTACCAAGCAGCGTCCAGCCCGGTGGCCGGACGCAGCCGCGCAGTCACA